CTACATCGGTGTGGGCATTTCCATAAGATAACGTGTGTTCTATTTTAAATGCGGCACTGCATACAGTGCGCCGCGAACGCGCCGCAACCGCACTGCATTGGTGTGCGCCGGGCCTAAATAAATAGGTATTTTTTTTTTTTTTTTTATTTATTTATCAATAACAATTTTTTACAATTTACAATACACAAATGATGATTACCATACTTGATTATCTATATCTTTTAAGCATAGCTTGAGTTAGAGATAGAGAGTGTAACAATGCTATTCTCAAAAAGATCAAAAAAAAAAGAATAATAATATACAATTCTATAAATAAATAAAATGTATACAGTTTAGTTAGTTATTTAAATAAAACAATTTTAAAATAAAAATATGGAGAAATCAAATATTACAATAGAAAATAATAGACTTGTTTTAAAAATATTATAAATTTAGAATTAAGATTCATAATAATAATAAGGTAATACCAAAAAAAAAAAACAGAAAATTATTTTGACATTATCAAGTTAAATAACTTGAATATAACTATCTATTAATATATTCATAAAAACAAATAATAATTAAACTAACTTCAAGAATAAATACTTATAAACACATTGTTTAACACTACTTTGATGCCGATGGATGTTTTTTTTATACTCATATGGCATTAAGTTGAAGTACGTAGGCCCCAAGTAGTCTACAAATGATTGACCGAAAGATTTTTTGGGATATTTAACTGGAATATTGTAAACCATATTTTCTCTTTTATTTTCAGAAAATGTTTTATTTTTCCCCTTTATTAATTGTTTAAAAATAAACATGATTGCTATTTTTTTAAAGAGGAATTTAACTGGTATACCACCTAAATCCCTATAGTTTCGACTAGTCAACCCTTCAAGAGCATACTTATTCAAACAATATTCTAACTATTTTATTTTGATTTACTTGTAGCTGTTTTAACATACATTCACCTAGTCCACCGCATATTAATAACCCATACTGATAAATCGACTGATATAAAGCAAAATATACTATACGAATTGTTTGTGTAGGTATTAAATTCTTAAGCTTTATAAATTTGTAAGTTATTGTACGTAACTTTCCTAATAAATTATGTATATGTAAATTCCATTTTAAATGTTTATCAAAAACAATACCTAAATATCTGATTCTAGTACCTTCATTTATTATATTACATGTATGTATGTTGCAAAGATCTGTATTAAGGCATCTATGTATGGTTAATGAGTTACAATTAGTATTAGTTGAGGTCCTATTAAAAGAAAAGGACATAAACATCGTTTTATCTTCATTTAATGTTAGATTTCTATTACATAGACCTTTATAAACTTTATTCAAACCAAATGTAGCTTTATCATGAACTCCATTCCACAATTTGTCCGAGAAAAGTAAACATGTATCATCCGCGTAAGTAACGACCAAACCATCAATATTAATATCACAGATGGAGTTAATATATAATATATACAAAATAGGCCCCAACACACTGCCTTGCGGAACTCCGTAATTAATAGAACTTTCATGACCAACAACATTATTTATTTTTACAATTTGTTTTCTATTTATTAAGTAACTCTTAAACCAATTTAGACTAACATTTTTTATTCCAAAACTAGGTAGTAACTGTAATAGAATTTTATAATTAACTGTATCAAATGCCTTTGCCAAGTCCAAGAAAATCGCTATTACTTTGTTGCCACTATCTAATTCTTTATATAAAAACTGAGTTGTACTAAAAAGAGCGTCATCTGTACCAATACCAGGTCTAAATCCATACTGGTTTTTAGATAAAAGTTTGTTATTTTCCAGAAAAGTAATTAACCTTACTTTAATTATTTTTTCTAGGATTTTGGAAAAATTTATTAGCAGGGATATTGGCCTATAATTGTTAATATTCTTACTATCTCCACCCTTTAAAAGAGGTTTAATAATTGCTACCTTTAGATTATCTGGAAAAACACTTCGCTTTATACCGAGGTTATAAATCTAAACAAGCGGATCAATTATTAATTCTATAATATGTTTTAATAATTTAGTCGTTACTCTGTCACAACCAGTCGCAGTATCATCTTTAGAGCTGTTTACAATTTTTAGAACTTCAGAACTCAATTTTTTCTAAAAAAAATTTATCAAAACAAAAAGTATTATTAACAATTAGATTTTCATTATTTACCTCATTACTAAAATTCTCAGCTAATTTTTTTCATACGTTTACAAAGTAATCGTTAAAAATATTAGATACTGTTTTAGGATCCGTTTCTGCATCAAACATTTGGTCATTATTTACTACCGTTTCAATTTTATCCTTGTTATTTGATTTAGAGCGTGTTATTTCATTTATTAGTTGCCATGTTGCTTTTGAACTATGAGAGACACTCTTAAACTTTATTTCATAAAAACTTATTTTTGCAAGTCTTAGAACACTTATATATTTATTTTTATATTTTTTATAATAGGTAACTAATTTAACATTATTAGGATTTTTCTTACATTTTAATGATAGAGCTTGTTTATGTCGTGTAGAACATAGTAAACCTGCACATCCACTGTTTTAAACGTTTATTTTTACAACTTACCACTTTATTTACAGTTGATATATCAATAGCCTTACTAATTATATTTTGAAATGTATTAAAACACTATCGTTAGTTTTGTTATATATTTCACACCATTTTTCTGTTTGTAATAACAATTTAATTTTATCATAATCAATTATAGAAAAAGTATTATCTCTAGTTTTTAAGATATTGATTATTGGTAAAGAAACACAGATAGAAAAGTGGTCACTTATAACAGTCTGCAACACACCAGAGTTAATTAAATTAATTAAGTGTTCATTACTGTTAATAAATATATGATCTAGACAAGCATGATTACGACCATTAGGTAATCTGGTATTAATCATGATCACAAAAAAATAGTTTTCGTTCGGTTGGCGCATCTCCCACTATTCTAACCACAAAACCATTGCTCGTAGTTCTCCGCTTTTCATTGGACGGCAATGTTATTGACGCCAAAATACAAAACTTCATAATTTATTATCGTATTTAATGATAATGCAACAATTGAAAGTTTATTTGTTAATTGTTTCGATTTCGTTTTACATTTTTTCAACACAATTTAAAAATGCCGAAGTGTGTATTCGGAGGTTGTTCCAGTGGCTGTAGGAAAAAATTAGTTTTCTTGAACAAAACAATAGTGTTGCATAGGTTCCCCAAAGATGATGAAATGAGGAAAACAAATTAACAAAGATAAGATCAATAATTTTGATTCTGGTATTAATGGTTTTTTTATTCACTTCTATTTACTATACCTTTAACTTTCAAGTACATAAATTTATTTGTCATTATTATTTAGCTGTAGTTTGCTCATTACATTTCAAACCATATCATTATAATCTTTCAAAAAAACATTCTACCAATAAAAACTATGCTCGTATACTTAAAGATGATGCAATACCTTTGAAGTAAGTATAGTAATGGATGTATTGTATTTAATATAATCTGTAATATTTGTTGTTTAAAAACATTTTTATTTTTAAAGTTCTTATGGAGTAGATTTCTATGACTTGCCTATACGCAGAACATTTACTCTTGTTTCGGCAGAATTATGGACTCCAGCTGGAAGGTTTTCTGTGTATGAATATTTATATTAAACATTATTTATATTTTATTAAATTATAATTAAATGTTTAGAGAAATTTCGCCTGATGAAAACATATCAGAAACATCAAAAAAATGCTGTGTTAGATTATTGAATGATGACAATTATCGAGGTCTGGGTGTTAAACCTCTTACAAGTGATGATGATTTGATTTTAAGGTAAGAATAATAACATAAAATCAATCAATTAGTATTAGTAAAAATTAATAATACCTAATTAAAAATTATTCAATAGACCTATAAAGGACTAGGTGTAGAAGTAATACAATTTAGTTTATAGAGACTGTGCAGTGGTACACCTAGCGCTCCCCGTAGTCAATGTGCTTACTTTTACCGGGAAAGAAATCAAGCGCGCATTGGGCATAACGTATTGTGATGTACGTAAATGCCTACGTTTAATACTTTAATGTTTAATTTTAATGTATCGTATTATTTGTTATACTACAATAATATTACATTTTACATGTTTCCATTGTGATCTATAAATATTTTTATAGATACCTATATAATTCATTAAATTATAATATATGTTGAATGTTGATAACTGATAAATCGACAATCGAATTAATTAATGCTTTACGTACGACGTATTGTACCTAAAGACTAACTAAATTAAACTATTTTTCACATAGGTGTTTTGATTTTCCTTATAATAAACAAATATGAGTAAAAAAATCTAATAACAATTGTTGTGTGGTGAATTGCAATAATACGTACAAAAATAGTACAAATGATTGTTTTACCACCCAAATATTATTATCATCTTTAAATGATTCTTCCATTCATGCTAACAACGAAGCCAATATTGAAGGGAATGTAATTACTGTTCCAGAATCTGATTTTCAGCTACTAAAACAATTTGAAGTAATTTTATAAATACTTCACTTTCCCTTTTATAATACCTAGGTTCTTAGTTTAAATTGTTATTACTTTAACATGGCTTATGTATTGTTTTAAGATTGATACCATAGAGTATATAGAGGCGCCCTAATTGAAATAATATGAAGCTAGCCTCTAACCGATGGAGCAAATCGTTAAAGTCCTCGAGCGACTGATTAGGTGAGGCATAGCAGCAGTATATCTGCACTCCGTTGAGGCGAGCTGAGATGAACTCCCGGTCGCGTTCGACGTTCGCTATGGTCACAATGTTGCTCGCGATGTAGATTGCAGCCCCACATGCTCCTGCGCTAGCGAGCCATGCACAGGAGTCGGTACCCACTCTGTAAGGGTCACTTAAGAGCGCGATATCAATCTGCTCCTCAACCATGTATTGTGCGATTAGGTCTTGGGCCGCACTGCAATGGTTGAGGTTGCTCTGGACGAAGCTCAGCTCCATCACTGCGCTACGTCTGCCCCCGCCGCCGCCACATCATCTGGCAACTCCTTCTTCCCGAGGATGGACGTGGTGGACCGCTGCTGTTGATGCTGTTCGGGTTGTTGCTGCCGCGTCATCCCCTGGTGCTGAGGCTCTGTGTGATGCATGTAGTCCTTGGCCAAGTGGTCGTCGGCTTTGCACCTAAAGCAGCGGCGAGGCTTGGCCTCGTTCCGGCACTCGGCAGCCAGGTGACCTTTCCCTTGGCAGCGGAAGCAGGTTGGTTGGTTGCTGGCCAACAGTTTGACCCTGCACCTGGTCCACTCCACGGTGACCGCTCTCTTCTCCGCCAGCGTGATTGCGTCCTTGAGCGGCAGGTGGAGGCTCGCAACGAACTCCCCTCTACCATCGGAGTTTTTGCGGATGGTCACGTTCTCGGAGCGGTCTCCGGTGACTCCCGCCTGAGTGACGACCGCAACGACGTTCTCTGCCTCTGCCCATTCCGGAATTCCCAGCAGTAGAACGGGCGTACGGGGCTCGGGTAACCTGACCCTGGCCGCATCTCCTACCACCTCCTGGATCTTTCCGGCTAGCAGTGTGGCTTTTTCGCTCCCCTCAACCTCGAGGAGTATTCCTCCCGCTCTGGTCTTTCTTGTCGTCAGGACCTTGACGCCAAGGGACTGGAGGTTGATCGATCCCGACACCTTTTTCATCACGGAGGCAAGGGAGCCATCTTCCGCCGGTCGGTCGATAGTGACCGCCATGGATCGCGGAGCCCGCTTCCGCAGGAGAGCCACTTGGTCGGTGGTCGAGCGTGGTTGCTGGGCCGGCTTCGGTGGCTTCCTCATTCTAACGACCTCGCTCCAGGTCTGCTGCTACTGGGGTTCCTGCTGCGGTTCCTGTGGCTGTTCATGCTGTTGTCGCTGCTGGTATTGCACCTCCGGCTGCAAGGGTTGCTGGCACTATCAGTCTGTTGTCTCCGCGGGAGTTGCATGCAGTCCCTTGCAAGATGGCCCTCGTCTTGACACCTGTGACAGCGGCGGGGCTTTGCATCATTGTGGCATTCAGCGGCGAGATGGCCTTTTCCTTGGCATCGGTAGCAGGTGGGCTGGTTTTTTTCTATCAGCTTAACTCTGCATTTCGTCCATCCTATGACAACTACCTTTGTTTCCGCCAGCTGAATAGCGTCCTTGAGAGGCAGGGTTAGGCTGGCTACGTACTCACCCCGGCCACCAGCGTTCTTCTGGATTCTAACATCCCCGGCTGCGACCCCAGTGATTCCGGCTCGCACGAGTCCTTCTAGGACCTCTTCGACCTCTACCCATTCGGGGATGCCCAGTAGCAGGACGGGAGTCCGGGGTTCGGGTAGCCTGACCCTAGCAGTGTCCCCAATTACTGCCCGGATCTTGTCAGCCAGAAGAGAGGCTTTCTCGATCCCGTCAACCTCCAGTAGTATACCGCCAGCTCTCGTCTTTCTCGTTGTCAATACGCTGACACCGAGCGATGCGAGGTTGATTGAGCTGGACACTTTCTTCATCGCAGCGACTAGTGAACCGTTGTCGACAGGGCGATCGATGGTGACTGCCGCCGTTTTTGGGACCCTGCGCTGTAGTAGGGCAAGTCTCTCCGCAGCCGTGGGTTGCATCTTTTTTGAGGGGGGGGATCTTCCTTCTTTGACTTCTTGGTCCTCCTCGCCACTTGACTCCATGTAAGCTGCTGCTGTTGGTCATGATCTGCTTCCTGGCTTGGTTGCACCGGCTCTACCCGATGTTGTTGCTGCTGCTGGTGCTGTTCCTTGTTGCGCCGATTCTTCTTTTCTTTCCTCCCCGTGGCCTGCAGTCCCAGTCGCTGTCCGGGCTGGTTCTGTTGAGGCTGCTGCTGCTTCCGCTTCACGCCTGCCAGCTGAGGCTTAGGAGGAGGTGGTTCGCAGGCGGGAGCGTCTGTGTTGGTAGTGGCGTCCTTAGTCGCCACGCCTGTTTGTGTGTGTTGTGACTTACAAACGTTACTCCTGGTGCCTGTGCTGGGCGTCCTGTTCTTAACTTTGGTGTATTGCGTCAAGACCACTCTTGAATTTGCTAGGGTTTCCTTGAGCTCCTTGTGCACGTTCCTGTTGCTCTTTACAAAGGCACACATGGAATTTATATATCCCCGAAGCATACCCAGGAGTTCATCTTCGTCCAGGGCACTGATGTCGATGACCCTCTTCTGCGAACTGGCTGTTGGCCGTTCCTTATCTCCGATTGGTCCTGGTTTCCGTTGCGTGCCACTTGGCACGACTGTCTCAGCAGTCGTATTTTTGCCGGATGAGAGGGCCATGCTGGACACCCCCTCATTCGGGATCTGGCTTGTTGATATCGACCTTTGGGGCGAGCCACCTCCAACTGCCGTCTCCTGGTGTCCGACCACCCCAGGTAGGGTGGCACCAGGACGAGACTCATCATGATTACTGTTCTTCTCCATTTTTATTTTAGATGGCTGTGCCTCCACTGACGGCGCCAGCCTCACGCCGTCTGTCCTTTTTCCGGTCGTTGCCCTGATCTTCCGGGACACCAGGGGTCGATCGCGTCCCCGGTGGTGGTTTTCCGGTTTCCTTCCGCGTCCGTTTGCTGGTGTTAGCAGGTGGACGAGACCTGCCGGCCCCGATCGGTGAAGGTCCTTGCTGGCTCTGTGTACTCCGACTACAGCTGGTTAAGGCCGCAGCCGGGTATGGGACCGCTTGGTAGGGCCATTCGGCTCGCAAGCTCCCCCACCGCGTCAAGGTGGGTCCCGTCGGGGGAGACCACAACGTTACCTAACCAAACTTTTTTTTTTTTTTGTGTTGAATCACGGCGCTACAGAAGGGCACTTCACCCGTTTAGGGCCGTCCTTCCTCCTGTATCCGTATCATTTATTAAAATGAACACACGACAAAATGTAAAAATAACATTTGTAAGGAGCATTCGCTCAACAAAAAAGAGAGGGCTCTACACCTCTAAAACTCGCCTTCGGCGTACAATTTAATAACTTAACTAGTTCAGTTCTGATTTCGTTGCCGCTCTCTTTCCTCGTTTTCCCTGGTTGACTGCACTGTATTCACGAAGTCCCTTACCGCGTCCCAGTTTCGTCTCCTTTTCAACATGCATGGTATTATGCGCTCCGGGGTCACCGCTGCCTTCACGTGCGCCTTAAAGCCGAGCACTTTATGGAGTACCACTCCTAGGTACTTGATGTTGTCCATCAGCTCTATGCGGTTACCCATAATTTTGAACTCTGGCAGTCTGTACCCTCTCTTTGTGGTTAACATCACCGCCTCCGTCTTCCTCACAGACAGGGTTAGGCCGGCGCTCGTCATCCATTCTGTGACTCTGCTCAAAGCCTCATTAGTTGCCGACTCGAGCAGCCATGTTGTGTGGCCCGTTGCCACCACAGCCACATCATCAGCAAAGGCCACTAATTCGGTGGACGACATTCCGCGTTCGTTCCCTCCTGTGTCCACTTGTAGGAGTTCGTCGTACATGACAAAATGTATTCCTCTCCTATACATTATTCTCCTGTATATTTCTCTTCTGCCGATTCCTCTTCTGTCCATTCCTCTCTTATCCCGGGCCCATCCTCCGGTCTACATCTGGTTGACACATTCACACCCCCTGATTTAAAACCAGGGGATCCTGTGAATGTGGCAACCCGGTGCAGACCATATTTGGCAGCTGTGGTTACCAAAATTGATGGTGACAATGTGCACTTTTTTCATCCTGCAATCGAGAAGAAAATAGAGCACATTGTCAACATCAAATTTGTCAAACCCTTTCAACCCCAAATACAGGAGGATGGGTCAATTTTATTGACGAAAGTTAGGAAGGAGAAAAAAAGGAGTGCTGCTGATGAGGTACTTGTCAAGACCTATGAATTAGCTCTTGATAGGTACCTTAAAGGCTAGCCTTCTTCAGTTCTCTTCTTCATAGCTTTCATCAATAAAGTAATGTGAATACTGTTTTTTTTTTTTAGCTCCTTTCCTTCTGTATATTTCTCTCCTGTATATTCCTCTCATGTATATTCCATATGTATATAATGTAAATAATGTACATAGTGTAAATAATGTATATAATGTAAATAATGTATATAATGTAAATAATATAAATACTGTATATAATGTAAATAATGTATATTATTATAATTTGTATTATTTTCTACTGATTAATGAAAATAAATAAAGTAAAAAATTTACAATATCTTAAATATGACAATATAAAATATATAATATATACTGTTTTATATGATCCTGAGAAAAAAACCAATATAAATGTTTCAATTCATTACCATTTTTATACGATGAACAGGGTATAGGATATTCGCAATTTTATTTTAAAAGATATACATAGCTTTTAAATTTTTAACAGCTTCTTCAGCAAACCGTAATCTGGTTTTTCAGCAGGTTCCAGATTATAAATCATAATCATAGTTTCAAAATAAAATGTAAACAGTTTACACAAATTTAAAATGACAAAAGTGCGTCTTATTGTTGTTATTTTTTCACTAAAAGAATTTATAATACTTACAATTCGGTACATTATTAAATAATTGTTTTTTTCTATTTGGCCCTGCTTTTAAAATTGCATCCTTCATCTCACTTTTAGATTTAATTGTTTTCGGCAACATTAAATTTGTCCAAGGTAATTTTATTTTTAACCATTGTAAACCATTGTACATTAAACTTTCTAGATCACCTCGTCGAGTTGGCACTACAAAGTAAGTACAATTTTTATAAAATGGGCTGGTACGACACCAAATTTAACACGATAACCAAAATTTTGATTTTTAAATAAATGTATTCATCCCAAAGATTAATAAGTTTAAGTACTAATATGAATATATTACAAATGTACGATTATGAATGTAAATAATATTTAAGATGTTTATATTCATATTTAAAAATGGTGGGAAAACGCCAAACCAAAACATGTACCTAGGTACTAATACACATTTACCACGATGTTTCTAGAAATTAAGTCTAGAAAAAAACCCAAAGAAGAGTGCCTCATTACGAATCCTCATCACAGTACCTTTTTTTTTGAGATACGCAAGATGGGCAGCTGCTTCAACTGTCATCAGAAGGGTAGCGTACCCATTCAGAATATGCAACCCCACGACGACAACCCTCAAGTCAGGAGCAGGCCATTGCCGCCCATACCTGACCTGGTGCTTTCGAACACCACTAACGCATCAGCAAAGAGATTTGGAGCACTTTACTATTATGGCGAACGCACCGACGAAGACTTCAGCTTCAGGAAACGAGAACATTTACAAACAAAATCCGAGCCGTGGTATTTTGGCAACATCAAAAGATTAGAAGCTGAGAAACAATTACTTTTGCCAATAAATGATGATGGATCATTTTTAATTAGAAATTCAGATAGTGAAATACATGGTTACTCTTTGTCTGGTGAGTTAATTGGACATATTTTTTTTCCAAAGAATGAGCATAAGCTACTTGACGAAGATAAATCTTTTTACCATCAAAATTGTTCTTATAATCAGATTCACAAATTGGCTATTTTTAATTTATCTAAAATAAATTAAATCAAATTTTATTTTTTTTATTTTCAGTACTAAAAAATAAATACATTTTACACAGGGTCTCTCAATAATAAATTAAAAATATTAATTAGAACAAAAGTTATTCCAAAAATCAGTTCCTTCTGTTACACCTAGTACCTATATTATGTACATTTATTTATAGTTCGCTGTGATGATAGAGTCAGACATTACCGAATTAAACAGTTTTATGATAGTGGATACTTCATTGTAAGGCGTACAACATTTAACACTCTACATGAATTAGTAAATTACTATAGTAAGATAGCTTTGAAGCCTTGTGTACAGGTAAGATTTAATCTTTTAATTAAATTATAAGTTTATAAATTTACTTTATTTACTCATGTTTATTTTTTTGATAGGCGAAGAAACCAGTCAATATATAATATATTATGTCATTACAATTAGTATTATTAAGCAAAATATAGATATTTTTGTTTTTATAAATTGTATTTATTAAGCAGACTGTATAATCGTGTCTATTTCTGTATCTAAAGCATAATTTATATCTTCTACACTGACTTTAAGTGACACTTTATGGTGCATGTCGATGATCCCATTTTCTAAACATATCAGATTGATATTTTTTAATCTATGTGCCATCTGAAGCAGTTTTTGACAATTTGAACTGTATGATAGTATACCTTAAGTTGAAAAAATAATAAAAATCTAAAATAGATTTAGAATCTAAAATAATTTTTTAGACATAAACTATAGTCAAAGTAGATAAATAAAATTGTACCTTTATCCAAGCAAATAACTTTGAGTTCAGACAAACAATATCGAGAGAATTTTCGTATTTTCCTGTTAACATTGTAGCTCGTGCAACTGCCATCAAAAAACATTGTTCGATCAGACAACAACTTCTGAAAAAATGAATAAATAATAAAACATTTTTGATAATTGCTATTGTTCAATTCCAATTAATCAAATCATAAAAATATTTATATAATATTACACAAAGTAATTGCATTTTTCCTGTTAAATAAAACAACTCAAATTATCATTAGGAAAGTGAGAGTTTGTGTATTTAAAACCATTGTGTTCAAATGTTGTCCAGGCAGTTAATTTTGGGAAACAATTATAAAATATGAGACAACAATTATGTAGGTTTCAAAGCTATTGTGAATACTAGTCTAAGTTTTATTGTATAGTGGCAATATTATAAAAATGTTTAATTATTTAATAAGAATATTGTTAATCAACAATTTTACCTGATAAAATTCACACATAATTTATACATTGCTGATTCAATTAGCCAATTAATAATTATAATATTAATGTTTGTTGGCACCATATTATCATATGTATCAGATGCATTTCTCAGAGAGACAGGTACAGGTTTGGGTGTCACAGCATATCCAATTTCCGTAGCAAGTTCATTGGACTTTTCAACACTTTTCCCTAAGTAATATTTATAAATAGTAGTTATTTATTTATAATCATGATTTATAAAAAAATTGTATTACTTGGAGGTTTGTATTTTAACAAAAAATCATGTACTGTATCATACAATTTAAGCAATGTGTCCAAAGTTAATGTTTTCATCCAAATTTTTCCAGAACCAAAATTAGAATCGTTATCTAATACAATATAAAAAAACATATATGAATACCGCATGCACGAACACTTGTCAGCTGTAATAAAACAAAGAAATATAATGACCTTAGATGGGCGTACTTTTATTAATGACTTAATACAAAAAAATATAAAAGGATGTATAAAATACCCTTTTATCTACTGATTCTTGTTCTATTGATTTTATTGGATAGTTCAATATGCTCACTTTCCCATCACTTAGATAGAGTCCTGTCTTGCCATTTAAAGTTTCAGTTATTCCTAATTCTTTATGTAATATAGAGATATAACAAATAAAATCTGCAATTTAA